AAATGTAAAACTAAAAAAAAAGGCAGAAAATTGTTTCCTTGGTACTATCCTATTCTACAAGACAGAAAAGGTAAAACTAAAAAAAAGGCAGAAAATTGTTTCCTTGGTACTATCCTATTCTACAAGACAGAAAAGGTAAAACTAAAAAAAAGGCAGAAAATTGTTTCCTTGGTACTATCCTATTCTACAAGACAGAAAAGGTAAAACTAAAAAAAAAAGCAGAAAATTGTTTCCTTAGTATCATCCTACTCTACAAGACAGAAAAGGTAAAACTAAAAAAAAAAAAAAAGGCAGAAAATTGCTTCCTTGGTACTATCCTATTCTACAAGACAGAAAAGGTAAAACTAAAAAAAAAGCAGAAAATTGTTTCCTTAGTATCATCCTACTCCACAAGGCTACAAAAACAGGTTATGGAATAACACACTGAAGAAAGTGAATACAACTTTTTATTAATTTCATTTACCCTTTGGAAGAAAACAAACATTTATATGTATACTGGTATACTGATAATGATGTTTTAATTATCAAACACAGAAAACATGAAATAATGATTGCATCACCTTTGTGCACAGCAATACCAAGGATTATTATACAGTGCAGTTGTGATGCATAGGACTTCAAAAAACCTAAGATAACTGCTGTTTGATTTAAGCTGCAGATAATAATGAGAATGGTAAACCAACAGTTATCAAATTAACTTTGGGTAGTTCTTAAGAAATTAATTATGATAATTTTACACTGGCTTTCCATTCAGCCACTTTTTTATTTAAAAGTAATCAAACAATTGCAGAAGCATGTGTCTTTCATGTTTTTATTGCCTTTGTTATATGACTAAAGCAAGAAACTGCTACCGTTTATGCTTCTTCATCTTTAAAAATGGGGTTTATGGTTCCCAGCCCATTTCTATAAAATTGTACTTTGGGTTATGGTTACACTATAAAAATGATCAAATCCTGCTAATCTGTCAGGTATGAGAAATCCAATAACTGGTGGTGAGTGGTATTGACTAGCTGCCTTCCTCTAGTCTTATATTTCAGTATTAGGGAGACTGTAAAAAATAGCCTTTAGGAAGCTTTTCACAAAAATCTGAAGAAAAAAATATTGAAAATTCTCACGTGTAGTAGAGGAATAATCTCGAAATACATTTCACAAGAGCACAAAAAACCAGACAAACTATTAAAATCTTTCAAATAGAGCAAGACATTCAGGGAAGAAGAAAAAAATTAAAAAAAACATACACATGATGTGAGATGAGAGTACTAATATGGTTCGAATTCTATATTAGTATTACCAGTTAAATTATATAGTAGTACTGATGGTTGCTGCCATGGCCATAACTGATTATTACCAGTTAAATTATATAGTAGTACGGTTGGTTGCTGCCATGGCCATAACTGGTTATTACCAGTTAAATTATATAGTAGTACGGATGGTTGCTGCCATGGCCATAACTGATTATTACCAGTTAAATTATATAGTAGTATGGATGGTTGCTGCCATGGCCATAACTGGTTATTACCAGTTAACTTATATAGTAGTACGGATGGTTGCTGCCATGGCCATAACTGATTATTACCAGTTAACTTGTATAGTAGTACGGATGGTTGCTGCCATGGCCATGACTGATTATTACCAGTTAACTTGTATAGTAGTACGGATGGTTGCTGCCATGGCCATAACTGATTATTACCAGTTAACTTGTATAGTAGTACGGATGGTTGCTGCCATGGCCATAACTGATTATTACCAGTTAAATTATATAGTAGTACGGATGGTTGCTGCCATGCTATATGGCACTATTATATAAAATCCCATCCTCCATCCACCTATGTGGATCTTCCCAGTAATATTTAATGATGACGAGAAACCCACTTGAAGTAAAAAATGCAAAGTAGAGACGGCTGGTATGGGTATTAAAACTTTAATTAGAATAAAGTACAAGAACAACATTTCGACCTTCTTAGGTCATCTTCAAGTTAACAAAGACCGTTTGAAACTGACCGTTACTGGGTACTTGTCTTAGGGACGAGAGTGTGAACATTCCAATAAACACTAAATTCATTCAAAAACCGGGCACAAAACTAAAATCCATGCTATGTAAAAACTACACTGACAAACATAACACCAACATTATATATAAAATACAATGCAACAACTGCCACGACTTCTGTATCGGAGAAACAAGCCAAAAAATGGAAACCAGATTCAATGAACACAAAAAAAACACCTTCCCACGTTTTTGAACACTGCAAAACAAATAAACACAACATAAGCATAGAAAACACCAACATATTAAATAGACAAACAAACGAAAAATCAAAGAAGCACTACTTATACAAGAACTCAAACCAACATAAAGGAACACCTTTATACCTATATTAAACATCTAAGTGCTACGCCCCCTACAATCTCGTACC